CACCTGTGGCAAGGGTGCCATAGGTTTACCATCACAGCCACAGAGCATCACTGCCTCCATGCGTTGCATATTTGACCTCTGGTGGGGGTGGGTGGGGCTACATTCAGTGTATAGGACACATCCAAATTTTCACTCTCTTTTTGGGGGAGGAAAGGTGTGTCTTATACTCCGAAAAATACAGTTGTAATTCTGCAGCAAAAGAGAAATATATATTGAGAAAGTTCAAACAGATATTGAAACAGTTTAATTACTATGAATTTCAACAGTGTAGGAAAATATGCTGAAAACAAACATGGAGGACTTACGGATGCTATACCATAAAGGAAGAACAGAACAAACAATGTAGAAATGTTGGTCAAGGGAAGATAGGAATGTTGCAAAAGAAATGCATATCCACCAGACAAAATCAATGTGTACACACTATACAGCAAACCCCAGGAAAGCCTACAAAAAGAGAGAGAGAGAGAGAGAGAGAGAGAGAGAGAGAGAGAGAGAGAGAGAGAGAGAGAGAGAGAGAGAGAGAGACTGTGAACCTTCTTGTAATGTCACTAATGTCCATATGTCACCGAAATAACTATAAAAATAATAATAACAGAACCCCAAAAGGATCCTCTGCCCTGTATTTTTTTTAAATGATTTTGTAAAATCACAAATGAAAGAATATTTAGGTGTATTTAACGTTGTGGTGGGTTTCAAATTTTTTTAGAACCTCTTATGTAGGTGAGGCCTGCTTTGTGGGAGTGGCTTGCTGGCCATGTGATCGAGTGAGAGTGGCTTGGCAGTCATGGGGCTGGGGGGGCATGGCCAACTTGTAAAATGTGGTGAAACTCACTTAACAACGCTCTTGCTTAGCAACCAAAATGTTGGCTCAGGAACTCTGGCATTTTAAGCATGCAAGTCTTAAAGCTGTAAAGTTACAAGACCCTTGCACCCTTAAGTCTTTAGAAAAAAACTTGACAGCTTTAAGACTTGTGGACTTCAACTCCCAGAATTCCTCCTCTCACTCTTCATCTTCATGATGTGCAGACGGGCCGGGGAGGGAGCTGGAACTGGTCCTAAACGGCACTGTAGATTTGTGGAACCTCTTCTATAGAAGAGGTTAGAATTGGCAGGAACCCACCCCTGATTTAACTGCATCACTCTAAGATAGGGAAGCAAGGACATCCACAACTTCATAACAACACTGTTCATTCAGGTAAATGTCTAAATTGGAGAGAAAACAATACAGAATCACTATTTTCATCAATACTTTCATGACCATGCTTGGCTTACTTAATTCTGTTCTAAGTGCCCCGGGTAGCAGTGGACTCCTGCTTTCTTTCTCCCATGAAGTTGCTGGTTTCAAGTGACAAGAAGAAACCACAGCCCAGCTTATAGCTCACCAGAAAGCTGCATCTCGTAGTCCCATTGTCTTCATCACTTCCTTCAATTTCCTTTTCTCTCTTGAAAGAGTTTGTGCCAAGAAATACATAAAGGGTGAAAAACATAGTGATAAGAGCCATAAGAGTAGCAAAATATCCAGTTCGCTTCCGTGCATAAAGGAAGATGATCTCATACGAATGCCGTTCATAGATTGCATTTCTTCCCAAACAGAATGATTGGTGATCCGCTAAAAACAAAAAACAAAATCACTGGTTTCTGAAATCACTGGTAGCTTCCCTAGGAAGATAGAAATAGGTGCGTGAGGAAGCATCAAACCCTTATCTCTTAGATTGCTGCAAAATATTATGATCAGTTCACTATCATAGATAAAGGAGCAAAGAATAAATAATATACAGCATAAGGCTAAAAGATTATTTAAAAATGCATAAATGAGATCGTCTTTGATGCAGAAAGCCACCATAAATACTCAGCTATGTAACACTGCACTAGTTCTGTTATTATACCAGCTATGTGCCACTTACGGTAATCTAATTTCCATTTCGGATTAAGAGGAACTATTAAAATATGAAGAAATTATAGGAAAAATGCAAAACAACAGCAAAGGATTCCCTCCCCCTCATCCTGAAATATAAGTTTGACAACAATCTTAATAAGCTATCTTCAAAAGTATTTTTAAACTATCCCAACCAGAAGTATTAGACAGGATCCAGAAATAAAAGGAATGGAAATCAAAAAAGAAAAAAAATTACAAGCTTTTGCAAATGATTTAGTTTTTCTGTTAGAAGAACCACTAGAAACTGGTCCTAAATTGAGGAATAGGGCGAGGTGACAGGGTTGAAAATAAACAAAGAAAAAACTAAAGTAATAGTTAAGAACCTTACAGATAAACATCAACAACAAAAAAGAATTGACAGAGAAAATAGATCTACAGNGCGCTGTTGTCGCAGCGGTGATGACACGCGGTGATGACATCGCGGCTTTAGCGACGCAGTTTAATCACCGCTATTTTGCGTAGCGCAGTTTTGTCGTGCCACGCCAGGAGACAAGTATTCCTTCCAGTAGTATCCACCTAAACAGTATGTTCCGTTTGTTCAATTGTGAGGCCAAAAAGCGGTAATCCCTTCATTGCTCTCGAAGGCTTCTGGGAACTTGTTTCAGGGTGGTAATTTCCTTATCTTTGTATACCATTGGTTCTTCTCAAGTTATTTTATATATTATGTGCCTGACCTTTTTTTGAGAAAATCTGCTATGTACCTCTCTGGGCAGTCTATGGCGCCTAGCATAGTTGGTTTGGATTCTATAGATATCGTCCAATTCGTTCAGAATTTCATGTTTGTCTCTTTGAAGTGATTCAGTGATTAACTCTGCCATTATCTGTCCTAGGTCTTCCTCTTTGGCCTCTGTCACGTTCTGAAATCTTAGGTAAAAAGCTGCCCTGTCCATTTCTAAATGGATTAGTGAGTCCTCTAAATCTTGTTCAGTGCGGTCATTTTTTGGTCAACCAATTCCAGTTTTTGTTCAGTTTGTTCCATTTTGGTTTCCACTGATTTTATTTTTTGTTCATTTTTCTGGATTGCTTCTTGGATTGACACCATTTTATTGTCCAGTTTCTGAATATCATTTTTCATTTCCCCGTGGTTTTTTGACATTGTTTCTTGTAACTTCACCATTGTATCCTGGATCATTAACAAGGTGGTCTGCATCATTTGCATATTTGGCATTGTGTTGGTGTTCTCTGCATTCTCTCTTTGTTTGTTCATTGGTTTGATGCCATGGCCATTGTTATCATTGGGTTTGATGCAGCTTTTCCCCCTGTCCTCAGAGTTATCATTGTAATACTGGTCATTTCTTTCAAGATTTTACTTTGTTCTCTAAGAATTCTATAAATACTTTCCCAAATTACCATCAACTATTTACCTGTAAATCTTTTCGTCCCTCTCCATGCTACTACCAAGTAGCTTGTAGTACTGTAAATATGTTATTAATATATATCTCTGCTATTAGTCAATCTAATCTGATCCAGTTATTCAGTATATAATTAAGGTTATTGTAGATATGGATATACATATAATAGATATAAATATTCTATATATATTCTATATGTTAATCATGATATATGCTAATATAAATCTGTAAGGTAATCAGTATGTATATAAATTTAGATATAAGTAAAGATGTAAGGATAGATATTAGTACGTCAGTTAATCAATCTATAAAAGTATAAATATAGATACAAATCTAAGTTTCAATAATATGAGTAAAGATATAAGTAAATAAATAAATAACTATATAATTCCTGGTGTAATATAATTTTAGGTCTAGACAGTTTAGTTGTGAATTTTCTGATTGTTGGTTCCTGGGTTACTTAACCATTTTATATTATGCTAAATATGTATAAATATTTCTTTAAATCTTCTTAGTTAATTTGATAAATGAATAACTGGTCCCTTGGTAATGTTACAATCAATGTCCAATGTTTTTCCTTGCTCCTCCTTGGTCTTTGGTTAATATCCTATTATATCCTCTTTAATCCATTCCTCCTTCTTATTCAACTCCAAGTCTCTCTGCTCCTCTCTGCTTTAATTTTGGTCTCTATATGTTTCTCTTCTCTCTTTTCGTCATTTAAGAACACCAATTTCTTCCTCCAGCTTCTGTCTCTGATACTCATCTGCTCAGTTCCCTCTCGCCGCCATTGTTCACGGAAGCCCACGGAAGCCGTTCCTCACCCTTCTTACTTTTCTCCTGTCGCTCAGGCTCACCGAATCACTCTCTCCACTCCCCCTTCCTCCAATTCCTTCTCCTGTTGATCTCTCTGTTTCAATATTTTTGCCTTTTCTCCTCTATTCAGTTTTTATGGTAACTTCAGTATGCTGAGTCACTGCTCCTCCTGCCGAGTCGCCACTTGTTCTTCAGGGAAATCCCCCTTCAGCTGGAGCTATCTTCTTTTCTGAATAACTAGGACTTACTTTTACAGTCAATTATCACCATTGCAGCTCTGGGATTTCGACCAAATAGATGTCACAGTCTCTTAAGTAAATCTTCTCTTTCTCAGTCTCTCTGGCCCATCACGGCCTTGTGTCCATAATAACACAATGGCACATACTTTCGCGTTGGGTTGGCAGGGGTTTCCTTCATTGCAGCGGGTGATCACCTTTTACCTCGCTGCCCTGCAGGCTTCCCCTCTATTCCACTTGGCTCTCCAGGTTCACTGCGCCCCCGAGAGGTCCCCAAATGCAAAATATTTGGAGTCTATGAATGGAGACCGTTCTTTTTCCCCGGCACCACTGTGACGTCTCCACTGGAAGCCCCATTCATATTCAACTCTGTTAAATTTCTTAGCATGTTTTTTTAGTCTTGGCTGATTGGAAATGAAAGTACATTCTATCAATAGGCATGCATTTTATAAGGGTTTGGATCTTGACTTATTTGAAAATCAGAGGTTGTTTTTCACTATAGTCACTACTGCTGACTAAGTAGAACTGCTGTGGTTTGCTTCCCCAGGTGATCTCAACAATCCTGATGACATGGCTATAAAGTAATTGCAATGTACCTTTCTTGCCTATTCCTCTCTCCTTTTCAACCCCAACTCAGTTATATTCTTCTGAATATATGCTTACCTCATTTTCTATATCACTGGATGGTATCCCCTTTATTTTAGCAAATGTCTTTAAATTTTCTTTCACTGTTAAATATTCAAACTGAATATTGAACTGTGGACACACAGCACTAAATTGCCTGATTTGTTCCATCTCTTTCCTCTCAGCGATATTGTACTCCAAAATGGTTGCAGAACCTGTAAGCATTAACCCAAAAAAGTATGTGGTGAGTTTTAACCCTGTGCAAGCTAGTAATAGTTTAATAGAGGATGATGCATGTTCTCTCATTGTATGGAAATAATAACAATGTTCAAAAAGATTGTTTCCAGAGTTTTATTCTACCTAGGAAAGTATCTTTAAGCCCTGCCCTAATGAATCTCTTACTCCCAGTACAAAGGAGAAATAGAAAGGAGGTGAAAGGAGGAGCATACATTGGGGAGAGAGGGAATTTGCAGGGGAAGAGCAAAAGATCTTCTTTCTTAATGAGCCAGAGAAAAAACTGCACTGGGTGAAAAAAACCTCCTGGGGACAGAACAAGCCCTTAATTCTCAGGGAAGCAAATCCCCCAAAAACCTATGAACTACTTTCTTAAATATAATGAAGGAAAAATAAAACTCAGCCTACAAATTCTAAGCATGCTTGAGAGTAAATTTTCACAAAGTACATAATGGAACTGTTAAGTTTGTTCTTATTTTGTGTCAGTGGCTTAGGTGACTGTATTACAATTTGAAGAGCTCATGGGGATTAACAATGGAGGATTGTAATCATGATAAACTGCAGGGGTAGCTTGCCTCTGAATGCCACTTATTGGACAGCAGAGAGAGCTATGCCCCCCCCCCCATATCTTAGTTGGGACTGCCAATAAGGATGAGGTTGGCCATTGTGAGAAACAGGCTGTGTGAGCTGATTGCTTCTTCGTCTGGTACAGATCAATTCTTCTTATATAAACTAGATTGGGATTAGTCTTGCATCTGACCTCTTCTTAAAGTCTAATTCTTACCATCAGTTGACTTAGAAAGTCCACCGAGGATGTTTAGCAATGTTGTTTTTCCAGCTCCACTATGACCAAGAATTGCAGTGATCTGCCCTTCATAGATATCCAAAGACAAGCCTAATGTAGAAGAACACGTGTTAGCTCTAAAAGTCCAGCAATATATGAAGTTTCAAGAGAAGAATGCAAACTGCTTTCTAAACTGATTTTGGTTTTCACTGAGCACTGTCCTGCCATTGTTGTCTTGAAAAAAATAGCCAAGCAAAAGTTCTGAAGGATTTGCTGAGAATGAAAAGCCAGCTTAGAGATAAGCAAAGAATCAAGTTCAATATGTGCCTCAATTGATTCTTGTTTCTAGGCAGTCCATGATCTCAAAATGATATCTGCAAATGGGCATTTTAAATCCTTGGTCAACCTGCTCAATCCTTGTAGAAGAAAAGTATTTTCTAGTTCATTCAGGTATTTTATTCAATGAGCATAATCTCAAAAACAGTATTTTTGTCCCAAATCCTATAATAAATTTCAGCTAATGATAATTTTTTCTTCTTTCCTGGGAATCTTTATATATATCTTCCCAACAATTTGTTGTGCATCTCTCTACAAGAGCTTAGTGATTTCCTCTCAGCATCTATTGCCAGTTAGGATGCTGATGGAAACCCTAGGAAAAAAGATGCAGATGGACCTTGTAAAACTGCGTGAAGTTTATGTACTACCCGTTGAAAAGGACCTCAAGATTTTTTTCCAGAGAAAATTACATGTTTGTCAGCAATCTTTTATTAGGTGTCGGATTCCACCATGTCATGTCACATAAAAGCTTTGGTCCACTCATATTTTAAAGTTTTAAAATGCTGTAATTTTGTGAGGTTAGTCAAATTTCATGAATATTTGTTTCCCTCTGGACATCTGAAAAATATTCACAAAATATTAATGCTTGTATTTAACATATTACAAGATTTCAGCATTTTCACCCAAAAACTTATGAAATCATATAAAAATAATATTTTTCTACTGCCTTTTTTAAACAATCTCCCAGCATTTTGGATATTTGTAATTTTAAAAATCCTTAGACAAAAAGTTGCAACAATGTCAACAAAGTGCTATCATGGACATCCAAGCAAGGACTATCTGTACAAAGCATTGTTAAGGCTGATTCTTAGATTAAATTTCACACTAAAGGGCAGCATAAATATTCAAAGCCAGTGCTATGTTAGAGCAAATCCTTCTTGAATTTGAAGGAAGAAAATTAAGCGGAAAAGATTAAGACATGAAAATATTTCTTACCTCTCAAAGCTTCTGTGTTTGTTTTTCCCACTTTATATGTTTTTTTAATGTTATTTAATCTTTAAAAAAAAGGGAAATATTGAACTTTTTAAATATTCATATATTTTTCTCATAAATATGATCTTACAATGCACCACTCAGGAGGGGGGATTGAGCAATTTTATATCTTATGCTTAACTTTAGTCATGTCACTGGAAATATTACATGACTTACATGAATCCAGTTTGGATTTCAGTAGTGATGTATTTCTTATTTTAGTTTACTTTTTTGAAGGAGACCCTTAATATTCTCCGAATGCACTGTCTAGATTGTCTTGAATGGAGACATTCAAGTTGAGGCAAGATTAATGAATAAGACAAATTTACAGTATGGTCCTGTTAGAATATCTTCAATAACTCCAAATATTCAATGCCATATTTCTAGTCTCTTACCGAATGGCTTCCTTCCCATCAAATTCAGGAGGCACAGGTTCAATATTTTCTCTGAAAATATTTCCATGACTTTGTTCATTGGTGTAAGGCTTTCTTGATTTAAACCAATAGTTCTTCTTCAAGAAAAATAAGGGAGGATAAGGCAGCCCATATTTGTCTAAAAGATATTTTTAAAGAACGTCAAATTCTCATACATCTGTAATAACTATACATTCTTACAAACACAAGCAAGAACATTCCAGTCACCCATTGTCAGTCAAACAAGATCACAAGTTGCCTGTTTGAAAAACTAAAAATGTTAAAAGTTTCTTTTTAAAAGACAGCAGAATTGGAACCGGAATGGCAACCTCTGGTTGTACTTCCGGCGTCCTGGAAACCTGATCGGCAAGCTCTGCAGTTAGCTCCGACCTCTTTAGGTCGGGGGGTCCAATTTTGGACCATAGCCCCCCTGAAGGGGGGGTGAACTAAGGGGTGATCACCTGGTAGGTTGAGGAGAACCGCATCTCTCTTCCCTGACTGGGAATGCTCCCTCATCTGATGATGAGGAACATTCCAGCCAGCCATCATCAGTCAAACAAGATCACAAGTTGCCTGTTTGAAAAACTAAAAATGTTAAAAAATTCTTTTTAAAAGACAGCAGAATTGGAACCAGAAGGACTTGTGCCTACTCTAACTGAGCAGGACTCCATAGAAGTAAAAAAGAATGGGGACAAAGCTATGTTAGTGCTTCTCTTATCATTAAACTGTAAGCTTAATCCAAAGTAATATATGCATTCAATCATAGTTGCTCCTGGTCTTTCTACAACAGTTCCTTTGGTATCTCTTTTATTACTTCATTTCATGGAGCAACTCAATAAATCAACTGAAATATATACATACACCCAGGAGCAATGAACAGCACAAACTACTCAGGACTAATCCTACCCAGGCTGTTGTCACTTCCTTATTACAAGTGGTAACTAAGGCTTCAAATTAAACTGCCATCAGAATTTCAGGACATTCGTTAAACATCCTTGGAAAATCAAGAGAATCCCTCAAGCACTTGGGTGGACCAATTAAATAATCCCTGATTGCTCACTGAGGGAGAAGCACCAGAGTAGTCCAATCAAACCAAAGAAAATATTTGATTATGGTAGAATACATTCTGAAATGTATTGGCAGGTGCAAATGACTAGAAGCATTCATTCAGTTCAAAGCACAGAATAGTTTATTATTACTATCTGTACATAAGAATCAAGGGAATTCACCTGGGTCTCTTGTGGCAATACAATGACTCCAAACTGATAACATGTTTTACTCCGCTTTCCAGCTCAGCCTGCTCTTTTCCTATATGTATCCTTCAATAGTAATGAATGGCAGTTTCATTTGTAGGACATCTTGCAGCATTAAAGCAAACTTTAAAACAAACAACCCAAGGTTGTCAGGCAACATTATAATTAGAAGTGGCTTTACCAAACAAATAATTCTTAATTTTATGGAAATTTTTAATTTCCATAAAAGATTAAAAGAAAGGGAAGTGGAGAACGATACTGCCATTGCAAAAGTGTAAATCTACCTTGCAAAATGATCACAAAGTTTGTTTTTCAATGGCTAGCACTGATAAGGAGTGCACCTTTGTACTATTCTAAATTTATCCTGAATGTCAGAATTAAGGCACTATATCATTTCACATCATATCAACAAGAGAAACTAACCAAAATGAAATTTTAAATTCAGAACAATGTGAAACAAGTACAGAAATGAAACAAAGTCAGAATCTCAAGAGGCCAGTTTCCTAAAATCTATTTGCTATCTATAAACTGGTTTTTCCTGAAAGTATTCTAACATTTTGAAGCTTAAATTATGAAAAACATGATGAGATTGGCTTGTCTGGAGGGAAGTTAAACAAGCATTATTTTGCTCTCCTTATTGATTATTTTGGAACAAGATTTATTGCAGCATTAGCTCAGCATCTAAGTCTATGGTTGCATCAACAAAAGGATGGTTTTGTTGACATTATTAATTTATGTGTCCATGTGTAGGTGAGGGGCCCATATTAGTCTTGTTCCAATATTTAATAATCCTCTTAATGGCCCTGGCTGGCAATGATAATGAGTGCACCTTTGTACTATTCTAAATTTAACCTGAATGTCAGAATTAAGGCACTATATCATTTTGGTTGTGCGTTTTGTACTGAGTTTTTAAAGAGATTTTGGATGAAAATAGAATAGGGAACAAAGATCTAAAATGCAGACTATATTTGAAGCAGTGGTGGGATTCAGCCAATTCGCACATATTTGGGACAACCGGTTGTTAACTTTCTAAGCAGTTCAGAGAACCGGTTGTTGGAAGAAATCTCCTTTTTCCACTTTACAGGGCTAATCTGTAAGGAAGGAAACATTCTGGTGTTGTTTCCAGTCTAATCTTTATTTCCCTGCTTACAGAAACTGCCTCTCGTTAACCCTTATTGCATTGTAACAGCTAAGGTGAAGCGCCCATCGACCTGAGTGACATTGAGTTGGCCATGGTCACATGAGCCACACCAACCCAGCTGGTCATTAGGGCACAGAACCAGTTGTTA